TTTTGGATTAATTTTATTTTTAAGAGTAATAAAACATCTTACTATTCAACTTTTTCATTAACTCAGATTACATTTCTCTTTAATTAATGTGGTTTTAATATGACAAATTAGGAATTGGGATTCAGCCTTTTTTTTTTTTTTTTGAGACAGAGTCTTGCTCTGTCACCCCAGGTAGAATGCAGTGGTAGAGTATAGTGGCGCCATCATAGCTCACTGCAACCTCAAACTCCTGGGCTCAAACGATCCTCCTGCCTCAGCCTCCCAAGTAGTTGGTACTACAGGGGCGCGCCACCACACGAGTGAGTATACAGTACACGTAATATGGAACCTCTTCTTCTCTTTTTTTTTTTTGAGACAGAGTCTTGCTCTGTCACCCCAGGTAGAATGCAGTGGTAGAGTATAGTGGCGCCATCACAGCTCACTGGAACCTGACTCCTGGGCTCAAGGAATCCTCCTGCCTCAGCCTCCCAAGTAGCTGGGACTACAGGCACATGCCACGATGCTCAGCTAATTTTTTCTATTTTTAGTAGAGATGTGATCTCGCTCTTGCTTAAGCTGGTCTTGAACTCTTGACTTCAAGCGATCTTCTCACCTCAGCCTCCCAGAGTGCTAGGATTACAGGCGTGAGCCACCTCACCAGGCCAGGATTCAGCCTTTTAATCTTAATGAAAATATAGGGCAGTAAGAAGATGTGGTATGTAATCTTAGACATCATAGACTCATGTTACTTGGCATATATTTTAACATTAATGAACTAAAGAAGAAAATTTCATTTTTTTAAAATTTTGTTTTCATTTTTGTTAATTACTGAGACAAAATCAACAAATATTTATTTCTTGAACACTGTTTTGTTGTCACTGTTGTTTTCATTTTTCCAACCAAATAACTGAATATTCTTTTCACAAATAAACTACCAAGGAAAATGTTATTTAATTAAATAACTAGTTAATCTAATTAGATACCATATTTTAGTGGTAAAGTTTCAAGCAACAAAGTTTGAGAAAATCTTTTATTGAGAGTAAGAATCTGTTTTCTTTTTAATATAGTGAACAAATATTTGAGTTCTGAAAATCCACTGTTCTTTGAACTACGTGCCAGATACCTAATTGCTTGTGAACGCATACCTGAAGCAATGGCTCTTATTAAATCTTGTATAAATCACCCAGAAATCAGTAAAGACTTGTACTTCCATCAAGCATTCTTCACATGTCTGTTTATGTCACCTGTAGAAGATCAGCTATTCCGGGAGGTATTGTTTGAAACTATTTTTGCCTATTACCATTTTAACCCTACCAAAAAAAAAAGTAGCTCAGTGTTGTTGTTAAATTCTTTTACAGTAATACCAAAGATTTAAGGATTACATTATCTAGATGTGTTCTCTTTTGGCACCATATTTTAAGGTCACATTGAGTTAGTCAGAATATGGTATTAACAATGATGAAATTAATAAAATATACTCATTAATAAGCATTATTCATGTTGAGCTTTTATTGTGACAGAGGTCAAATAAAAACAGAAGTATTACTATTTTGCCTTTTTAAATAGAGTACTAAGAAGTTAAATGGGCATATTTTGTTTTTAAGATGAAAGAATTAATCTTTTTCTAATATGGACCCTATTTACCTATAGGTCATAGACAGTAATGAAATTAAAAGTAGTCACTGTAAAATGTAGTTGCTATACAGTGAAACTATGAAACCATGAAAATATTTCTGTACTATCATTATTTTTGTACAAGAAAACTAGAAATCAAAGTAATTTCTTCTGAATGTTTAAACATTTATTGCAACTAGCTTTTTTAGATATTTTTAATGATATGAACTGATTTTTCTTTTTCTCTGACAGCATTTATTGAAAACTGATTGTAAGAGTGGAATTGATATCATCTGTAATACTGAAAAAGAAGGAAAGACTATGTTAGCTTTGCAACTCTGTGAATCTTTTCTTATTCCACAGCTCCAGAATGGGGATATGTACTGTATCTGGTAAGTGTTCCTAATACAGAAATTGAAATGGTAAGATGAGCAACAAAAGGAGAATTGGCTAGCAGAGTTTGGAATTCTTTTTTAATTGTGTGACCATAGTAAAGCTATTTTTTAACAAATTTATTGTACAAGGAACAATAGTAGATTCTAAGAACTAGAGATTTTAAAAAGAAAATTATCATGTACCACTAATTGATAGTGTAGATGTTTAAGGTATGTATTACAATGAAACAATTATGTTTGAAATGAAATTTTAAATTTGAAGTTTGAGTTTTTAAAAACATTTTTAAGACTATTTAAACCTTGATAGTAGGATATATAAAGCCAGCAATTTTACCTGGCAATCATGCAATTTAAAATAATGGTACTAATCTTCAAGTGCTACTAAGAACTTCTGCTTCTTCTCCTCCAGTATACAAATATATATACACAAACACACACAAAAAAACCCTACCACTTTACATTTCATTAATTAAAGTATGTTACATTGCTGAACATAATAATCTGAAATGATCATGAGCTATAAACATTTTTTAATAAGTGCTTTCAAATTTTAAATTCTTAAAGACAACAATAGCTTGAAGGCATATAGCTCCAAATCATACTTTAATATTCTTTTTATAGATTGAAATTTCCAGAGTCAGAGATAGAGTGAAACAGCTAATTAGTAGCAGAGCTGGGTCTAGAAACAAGTAAATTCTTCTAGGGGAATACAGTATACTTTTAGTTAGATTATGCTAATTTTTATTAAAAATTATACCATGTAAGTTGGAATTTCAAATAGAGAAAGGGATTAGGAAGCAGTAGTCTTAGTTTTTAGTATAGTCATCCATCACTTAAAGATAGGGATATGTTCTGAGAAATGTGGTGTTAGGCGATTTTGTCATTGTACAAACATCATGGAGTGTACTTACACAAATCTAGATGGTATTTATAGCCTACCACACACCTAGACTATATGATATAGCCTACTGCTCCTACGCTCCAAACCTGTGCAGGATACTACTATACTGAATACTGTAGGCAATTGTAACACAATGGTAAGTATTAGTGCATCTAAACATAGAAAAGGTATAGTAAAAATATGGTATTATATAATCTTACTGGACCACCATAATATATGCAGTCCACCATTGACTAAAATATTATTTTGCAGCACATGACTGTAGTTTTCAAAATATTATTTAATATAATTTTTTAATATGCGGTTATTCCAAAATTGAATGTAGTCATGACTGCTGATCTTTTCCTATGGGGATAGGAATGTTCCCTGCCCTTATTAACTCAATCAAACTATTTAAACAGGGTATCTTTAGTCTTTTCATTTTAATATACTCATAAATAACTGGAATCAAGTGTGAACAAACAACAACAACAAAAAAACCCAGAAAAATACATTTTATTTTCTTCTTCTCTTGGCTAACCAGTTTCTACTCTTTATGGACCTTAAAAATATTACAGTGGAACTGTAATATTACAACTGACAGTAACGAGACTGACCTTAGAAGAGGATTTAAAATTGAAATACTGAAACTTCTGACTTCAAAACCCATGTTTATATTGCTATTAACACCATACAGCATATTGAATAAACACTAAGTGAAATGATCAGGGAGACTAGAAATAGATCAGGTTAGCAACTGCTGTAGAAATGTGTAAAATTAAAGTGCCTAAGATGGTAACATTGAGAAAGAATGACATAGCTGAGAGTAAAAACATAACTGAAATATAAAGGAACTGGAAAATAAACAGGTTAGAACCACACAGGATGGAGGAATGTTCACGGATTGATCTAGGAGAAGATCATCAATTTTGTAGGAATAGCATTAGTTCTAAGTGGGTTAAGGTGGTGGAAGGCAATATAACCCGAAATGCCTAGGCATGGAAATTGGAAAGAAGTCAGAGCTAGAAATCTGTGAGGAAGATGGGAAACCTGGTGAATGTTCTAAAGGAGTATTATGCAAAAAAAAAAAAAAAGAAAGAAAAGTGGAAAGTGGGTGGTGGACTGAAACTTAAGGAATACCCACACAGTTAGTATGAAATGGAAGTGGAATTTTGGTTTTATTTCTCATACTTTGCTTGCTGTCATTTTTTGTTTTGTTTTTTTCTGTATTGGCTCTCTGAGTAGACTATGTGCACCTTCATGATGGTAATCAAGCTGTCCATAGATTTAATACCTATACGTGCTGGGCTCAAAATACATACTCAAATCACTTTTTTTTAAAAACATTTTCATCAATTATTTTAAAACTTTTAGATTATGATGCTTTTTATACTTTTATGGCATGTTTGAAAGAATTCTCATTTGCTAAAATGTGATAACAAAATATATCAACTATATCTTATGATTTGCCTTTGCCTCAAAACATTGCTCCTAGCTTTGTTCATCTAATAACGTAGACCATATTTTTGAAAAGAATCTATATATGAAATACTTTAAATGGTTCGTAGCTTGTCTGTACTACATCTTAACAGAAGAGCAGTTGATCTAAAGCATACAATTTCACAATCAAAACTATAATATACTTAGACTTTTAATCTTTTAGTATCTTTTAATACTTTAATGTTTTCGGTATCTTACCAGAAAATGAAAAATATGTACCATTCCTTCTTTGCAGAAAGTCTACAACATTGGTTTCTAAGTTTGTAAGTAGGGTATTAATTAAAGGCCAAAGTTTATTATGTTTTTAAATAACATCAATGTTGGTACATTGGAATGAAAATTTCTGTTTTGATCCAACACTAGAGATGTCTTAGTTAAGCCAGCATACGGCTGGAATTCATTCCTTATTACTGAAAATCGGTAATTTCTAATCTCTCTTTTTCTCCCAATTTATTAGTCTCACATATGTAGCAGAAGTAGGTTGGGGGTGGTGGTGAATATAATACAAATTTATATACATTTTGTATACATTCCACCCAGGGCACTATAGAATCAGGAAAAGAGAACTAATGTTTGTATTTGAATAAACTGTATTTTTGATATTTCTCTTTTTTTCTCATTTACAGGGAGTTGATTTTCATATGGAGTAAACTACAGCTTAAATCTAATCCTTCAAAACAAGTTTTTGTAGATCAATGCTACCAGCTTTTAAGAACAGCAACTAATGTGAGAGTCATATTTCCTTTCATGAAAATCATTAAAGATGAGGTAAATAGGACATATTTATCCCTTGAATTTTAAACTAAATTTAAGTAACAGTTCACTGAAACTTGAATCTCCTATGATAAATTTTATTTGATTATAAAATTGAAGGGAAGGAGGATTTTAAGGCCACATTCTGCATATACTGCATCCTCTTCTCCCTCAACTCCAAACTCCCAATATGAACAAAGGTTATACATAAGTGAAAATAACTGAAAAAAGAGAAAAAAGGCCAATTTTTTTGTTACTTAAAATTTAATATGGGAACAGTTGCTTCTGTCAGAAGCTATCATTTCTTTTCTTATAATTAAATTTGTTACTTTTAACATCATCCTAAGTCCCATTTGTAGAATCCTTAACTAATCTGCAAATGAACTTTGTATATCTGTAGATAATACTTATTCACTATCACAAAGAAACTTAGTTCCAGTTTTAAGTCTGGTGTTTATGTGAAAAGGAACAATGAATTCTGAGGCATTTTTAAAATTTAAGAATACGTTTTTAAAGTGTTTATTTGATGTAACTGTAAAAACCCATTAA